CCCCAAAACCCCAAAACCCCTTTCATTGAAATAAGTTAAATTTAAAGATTAAGAATAATAAGATTTACTTTTAAAATTTAAGATCACAATGGAAGGATCAAACACTTCAGATTAAACAACTCAGTCACCTAAAAATCCTTATATAAAAACTGGAATCGACTACCCCACATGGAAATTATTTTCTACTCCTAACACATTTACTATTACTCCATCAACTTAATACTCAGAATAGAGATCATTGATTGTTGACAAGAAGTCTTTAAAGATAAAAGAGCATGGTAACATTTTTCAATATTTTGCATAACTTTCTTACATCATTTTTAGCAATTGTTGTGAGAGAAGATGCTGAATGGACTATGGATATACAGGGGCTTCTTGGTATCTTGAATATCTTGGGAGTTGAACATATAATGGTTATTACTGGAAGAGAGGAGGTGTGTAAGATACCCCATAAGCTTTAACCTAGATATGATTAACCCTCTGTTATATTTGAGCTCTAAGAAGTAGAGTTAATACCTTTTGAAAATCAAAGTAGTCCATAATTAGAATATTAGCTAAGATCAATAAGAGATGGAATTAAAAAGTTCCTTGAAGTTGGGTTTTACCTATCATATAGATTGGATTTGACTTCGAATACACAAAGAAGAGATAACTTTACATAACCAAAAGATGGATAAGTATAGGTAGATCTAAGCACAATTCATCCATACATTTCCTTAGATTATAGATATATGTGGAATTATAACCTGTTCAAGTAGCTAAGATCTTAGCACATTCCTGCATATTGGATTGTACCCTTAGTTTAAGGATATGTTGGCCATTCCAAAATCAATGATTTAGAACTTGTTTTAATTGCAAGAAGAAGATGGTTGATGGGAGGAACTAGATACAACTCTAGAGGAATTGATGAAGAGGGAAACACAGCCAACTGTGTTGAATCTGAGTAAATAATAATGAGGCATGTTCCACAGAATACCCATGATAGGATTTATACCTATTCATTTAGCTAAATCAGAGGATCTATTCCATTTTTTTGGCAGCAACCAACTGGAAAAATAGAAATCCATCGTAGTCTTGAGTCAAGTACGAATGCTTTTACCTAGCATGCTGAAAATTTAATGAAAGATTATGAGGGAAATTCAATTCTTATGGTTAATTTGTTATGTAAAAGTATCAAAGATGAGGAAATGCTAACATAGGGTTTATTAAAACTTAAAGATTAGACAAAGGATTAGTTTGAGGCTTAAAATAAAAAGATAGACTATGAGTATTTTGATTTTCATTACAATTGTAAGAAAGGTACAGGATTGCTAGATACTTATATTACAGACATACTAAGATAACAATATTTAAGAGATATTGGACTTTTTACAGAAAAGCATTCTATTTACAAACATGAAGGAAAATTGTATTAGCTTTATTTTAATAATTTTATATAGTGTCAGAGAAAGCAGAAAAGTATAATCAAGATAAATTGGAGTTGTTAGAACTAATTGTTTAGACTGTCTTGATAGAACAAATGTATTCCAATCAAAGATTTGCTTTAAAGTATTTGAAGACTTATTAAAGTAAAAATTCTCTTCTGACAATTAAATTGGAGTTTTGTTGACAAATATGTGGGCTTTTTGTGGCGATTTTATTTCAAAAATATATGCTGGTACTCATTCAGTCTTGACTCAGGTCACATTAAAAGGCAAAGAAAATATATATGATAAGATAGATCATGGAGTGACATCAGTCAGAAGATTTTTGAAATAAAATTTATCAGATGATTTTAAATAAGAATGTATTTTAGTCTTGTAAGGCTAACATGAACTTTGCAATTCAATTCCAACAAATTTTGTAGAGAGTGTCGTGATTAAGGAAATAGATTAATTTTCAGAAAATCAAAAAATCATACTTCATATCACAACCTTAAATTGTGCAGGAAAATCTCCAGAAAAATATCAAGAACTAATCCCTATATTCAAACCATAATTTGATGGAGTTACACCGTAATTTTAATATTCTAATAAGCATTAAATATAGTGATATTTTAGTTATCGGTCTCTAAGAAATCGTCAAACTAAACTCTTTTAGTATCTTTTAGGGGAAAAATAAGTCTAAGATGAATGAGTGGGAATAAATTTTAAGAAATGCTATTGAAGCTGCTAGTACGAATATCTAAGATCCAGACGAAAGATATGTATGGGTCATAGCTAAAGCCATGGTAGGATGCTTTATAGGCTTATTTGTGAAATAAAAACTTCTATCAAGAATAAAGGACTTAAAAACAACTAAGATTAAGACAGGTCTTGGAGGATCAGCTGGAAATAAAGGAGCTGTTATTGTAAGATTTAGCTTAGATGATACAAGTATCCTTCTGATGAACTGTCATTTAATGTCTGGAAAAAATAAAGGCAGCAAGAGAACAGATGAGCTCAACTTTATATTTGATAATGCATTTAAAAATGAGTCTAAAAATAGAGTAAGCAAATGTCATGAATAATCTAATCTATAGAAATTTTGTATTGAAAATCATAATATGGTGTTCATATTTGGCGATTTGAATTACAGAATATGCCTCCCTAATGATTAGGTTAGAGGTGCAATTTAAAATAAGGACTATCCAAAACTTAAAGAAGCAGATGAACTCCTCTAAGCTTTTAAACAATACTAGAACACAAAAGAACTTCAATTTTAATTCTATAGAGATTATGATGAAGGTGAGATTGACTTTTAGCCAACATATAAATACGATAAGAAATCCTAGAAGTACGACACTAGCAAAAAATAAAGAGTTCCATCGTGGTGTGATAGAATTTTATGGAAGAAAAATAATAAGGTTACTCAATAAGTCTTAGGTTGCTTTTAAGATATAGTATTTTCAGATCATAGACCTGTTTTTGCTCAATTTGAGCTCTATGTAAATAAAATAATGAGTGATTTGACTAACAAAATGGAGGAAAAGTTCTATGAAAATATGAGATTTTAGAGTCTTCATGCACTTGGCAAAAATAGAATGTCTAATACTTCAAGTTAAACAAATAAAACTAACAAATCTGAGGAATAGAAAAATGATGATGGAACAGATAGAGATCCTTTAGACAATTTAGATGAGCAGCTCAGTAGATATAGTTCAAATACAGATTAAAGAAGATCCGAAAATCCTTTAATTCCCCTTATCGAAGAAGGAGATGAAGAAGAAATGGATCCCTAAATGATATATGGACTTAATATTCATGATAAGGGGGATATGACTGATAAAAGTTCAAGCCTCTAGTCATAATCTGATTCTTCATAGATTCAACAGCAATAAAATGTATCAGAATTAAAAGAAGATGACATGGCTTTCGATGATAGTGGTTCAAAATCTATGATAGAAAGTAACGGGCAGCAAAAGTTTCAAAATCATTCAAATTTCTGATAAAACATTATTGCATTAAATACCATTTACTACTAATGTTAAATAATGGCGTCATGGGGTTTTGGGGTTTTGGGGTTTTGGGG